AAAGTATATCGAATATAATTAATCTGATATATACGAAAATCTTTGAAATATTTTGTTGTCCAATACTATAAGCTGAAATCTTTATACGATAACACACAAATCTGAATTTTATAACTGGAAATCAACTAAGCTGTAGAAATACTGAAATATCACACCAAAAAGGTACCTTAAATAACCTTACTCATGTATCGATAAATACCGATATATATGGTAAAGCTATGAAATTCTGGTTATACACGCCCATATCTATAATCTGGTCATACATTATGAAAATACATTCACAATAGTGCAGAGCGGGTAAAGTCACCATAACTGATCATACACTATGGAAACACATTCACACCAGTGCAGATCGGGTAAAATAACCATCTAAAATCATACAATGTGGAAACACATTCACATCAATGCAGACAGCGTAAAATCACCTGGGTACTTTCTGGTGATTTTTAAAATAACTTTAAATATGTTGAAACATGTAATATGAATATAATATGCTAGAGAAAAGATTTAAGTAAACTGAATTTAATTTTAAAAGAATTAAGTATAAAATCAACTTGATTCTGAAAATCATGCTGTGAAACTAGTTATATGAAATAATTAACTTTCTATATGATATAAATTTAATAAATATTTATTTTTGAAAAGTAAGTTTTTCCATTCACTCAAAACAAGCTACAGTGTATGAAGATCGGTAGGCTTTTCCAATCTCTGTGTCACCACCTGAAAAACCATACAAGATAACTAATTTAATCACTATCAAAACAACAAACCTTTATTGTCCATTTCTATAATTCTTAAACTAAATTTCTCGATACTTGAATAAATTTTCTAAATTATTCATTTAACCACATGGGACCAATTACACTTTCTAATCCATTTACTATTATCCAATAAATCAACATAACCTTTCATCCAAGCATTATTGCAAATATCCACTACAAACTAGTGACAACTACTAACTACAATACAGCCCATTAAATCACCATCTTGTTCCATAATTTCATGCTTTCTTGTAAATATTACATCACCACTATAATTCTCACTAACAATACATATTCAAGCATCAAATAGAAAATCTAGGATTTGCCCAAAAATAGCATTCTTACCTCGATTCACTTGGAAGCTAACCAATCAAGGAACTTGAACTATTAATCATAATCTGTCCCCTAAAATTGAAATTTTCGAACCAAATTAAAACCCTAGAATTTAACATAATATACCTCTACTTCTTGAGGAAAATGAAGAGAATGAAAAAGTGAAATTCAAAATTTAAAATACCCATTTCTTCTTCTTCCTCTTCTCCTTCTTCTTCATTCTCTTCTTTTCCTTACTTTTCTTTTTCTTCTTTCCCCTTTCTTTCTTCTCTGGCTATTCTCGGTTCCTTCTCTGCATGAATGTGTGAGAAAAAGCAATTGGAATGGTCTAGACTTTGCTAATTAATGGGGCATCTAGTGATAATTGCAAAGGAAGTCCCCCACCTATCATTTGATGCATAAGTAGATCCTTAACTATAAATCTCATCCATCTATAACCTCATATATAATCCATTGCTAAATAAACCCCAAAAAAATAATTTATTCCAATTAAGTCCATATTTGACCTTGACTTAGACAATTCAACTATTGACTTTTGACTAAAAAATATGAGATGTAACAAGAAACCATATCATCTCTCTTTAAAACTATTCCCAAAATCCCGTTCTTCACCTTGGGCGATCTTCC